ACTTCTATTAATCAAATTGAATTTAACACGCTGTAATTCGGCAGCTGGATAACCCTATTTGGACTAGTATTCTGCTACATCTGTTATACAAGAACATCAAGAACATCAAAATTATTTGGTTTTGACTTACAACATATGGATTTCTTAATTTTATTTTAAAGGTTTTTTATTAAATTCAAATCTGAACTTTATAAAGACTAGTCTATTACCCTAATATTTTTATTTTTTATAAATTTTTTTATGATTTTAGCAATGTATAGTTTATATTATTTTATTAAAATAGCAGATAACAATAATTTTTATTTCCTGAAAATTTTTTTATAGCAGATAAGATATTCTTATGGAGAACTTTAACATGTAAAACATCAATAACAAATAACTTTAACAAAATAAAGGGTTCAACTTTATATGAGAAAAAGCAACTCCAATATATATGACCAGAATTACAATTAACAATACAACTTAAACACATAATATTCCATTTCTCATCAAACTTGATAAAAATAATCTTAAAAAAAATGAATTGTAGTCTTATCTAAATACAAAATATATTAAAAATATTGAATAAACCAGTTTTTATAAGCAAAAGACCAGTTAAGTCTTTTAATTATATTTTTTGGAAAGATCAATAGCTTAGGACAAGCAATATAGAAATTTAAACTTTCTTTATGTAATGCATAATGAATAACATATTTTGAGATGCTAATTTCTTTCTAAATAATAAAAAAATTGGTAATTTGAGAAAGGTTTAAATAATGATTTTCATTAATAACTAGATTCTTAAATTTAAAATGATTAAAAAGAATAAACAATTTCAGATATTTTGGGCATTTATTTTTTTTTCATAATTCTATAGTACCTGTTTTACAAAATTCTTTAATAATGTTTTCTATAACAGATTTTTCATAACTTATTAGAGTTGCAATAGTACAAAGTGAATCCTTTTTAAAGTAATTAAAAATAATAACATCTCTTTATTTAGCCATCAAATTTTTATTGCTGTCCAAATAAATAAATAAATAAAATAAATAAATAATAATAATAATAATAATAAATCTAATTTTAATCTTTGGTTTAAAAAAATAAAATTAAATTAAAGTTTTTTTAATATAAAATTTGAATAAATAAATAAAATTGTATAAAATTTAAATAGATTATACCTTAATATTATATAAATATATTATTAAATTTTTAAAATTTATTTATTAATAAAATTTTTTATTATTTAAAAAATAAAAGTATTTACAATAGTATGATAAGTCTCTATATAAATAAAGTTTATAGCTAAATATAAGTTGCATCTTGCTTAATATTTATATTCTTAGATTTGATAGCCTATATCAATTAGGATCTTTAAAGTATTTACTGAGAGATTTAGAAATCACACTTCACTTAGCCATCTAACCTTTAAATTTAATAGCTTATATTAACAAAGAACTCCTAGAGCATTTATTAGGAAGGATTAAATATGACCATGAATACTATTACTATATAAGCCAAAGATATGAAATAATAAGGAACTTAAATAAAACTTAGCTAGCATATTATTATCCTGCTCAAGGTTAGATAGTTTAAAGCTGATAGCAAGATTTCTACACCTTTGAATTTCCATCAGTATATGAACCTACCCTTAAGATATAAGTTGATATATCTGGTTAATCAACTGTATTGATTAAATTAGTGATAAATATTAAACTGTTCATGTATAGGAAATGTAATCTACAATAATTAAAAAATTCTGCACATGTAGCACAGTTAACATTTATTAAAAAGATCTTAATTAAATAATATTTATAAAACATTCGTTATAAATATTAAAATTTTTAGCAGTATTGTTTAAACAGAATCAATATATAAATAATCTGTATTAAATCTGATTTTTAAAAAGTATTCTTAATTTGTAAAAGACTATATTTATATTATTTACCAATCATTTATTAATGATGTATTAATTCTTATTTTCATTAAAAAAATATTCTTTATTATTGTATCTAAATTATAAAAATATTTTAATTCTATTTATATTAATAAAAAAATAATTTCCAAGCAAAGGCAATACATTTTGTTCCGAATAAAATGAATGGTTTGTTTAAATTAACAAATATATTCCTTTGACATCCACCCGATAATTATAATATATATTATGAAATGTGAAGAAAATCATTCATTTTCTAAATCTCGAATTCTAACATGAACAGCATTACGATGGGCTTCCAATTCTTCTATTTCAGCCAATCTCATAACGACATGTCCTAAATTCTTCAACCCTTCTTTTGTCAACTTTTGTGCTGTGATATGTTTTAAGAACGTAAGGGTATTGACACCTGAATACATTCGCGCGTATCCATATGTAGGAAGAGTATGGTTTGTACCCGAAGCATAATCACCACAGCTATAAATATTATAAACATGGTTAATACCGAACTATCAAACAACTTGTACATAAATCTCTATGTATCTTATTTCTAAATACCTTTCAGGCGAGTAAGCACCAACGAAAACACTACCCGCATTTTGAACTTTTTCTACCAAACTTTCGGCATCTTCAATGTGCAAAATTAAATGTTCGGGTGCATAATCATTCGCAAATTTTATAGCTTCGTCCATATTGCTTACTTCTAATATGAAGCTCTTTGGAATTGATTCACGTACTATGTCTACTCTTGGCAAACAGCTAGCCTGTTCATGAATTTCGCGTTCGATATTCGAAAGATGTTCTGAAGTAAGGGACACACCAACCAATACGACTTGAGAATCTGTACCATGTTCAGCTTGTGATAACAAATCCGATGCGACGTACGCAGGAATACTTGTATTATCAGCTATAACCAAAAGTTCAGAAGGTCCTGCTGGCATATCGATAGATACCATAGCCGAACTATCATTCTATTAAAAATTTAAAAAATTATTATTATTAAAGAAGAATAATAATACATTTGAGGAAAAATATGACAAAGAATCCTTACTTGGGCCAACATTTTAGCAGCAGTGACATATTGATTTCCAGGACCGCATATCTTGTCAACTTTCGGAACAGTATCAGTACCATAAGCCAATGCTGCAATTGCCTGAGCACCACCAGCCAATACAACTTTTGATGCCCCAACCTTATGCGCAACATACATTACTTCAGGTACAACCGTCCCATCTTTTCGTGGTGGACTTGCAATGACAATCTCTTTGCATCCTGCAACTTTAGCAGGGATACCTAACATAAGAGCTGTGGATGGCAGAATCGCAGTACCACCAGGTACATAAAGACCCACGCGCTCAATGGGACGACTAAAACGAGAACAAGTCACACCAGGCATTGTTTCAATAACCAATGTAGAACGATCATATTGTGCATCGTGAAATTTATATATGTTGTCAAAAGCTTGGTCAATAGCGTGGCGAGTGGCTTCATCAAGTTCCATGGATTCAGGAAGGAAGGGTGCAGAAATTACAGGTTCTTTTAACTGAACTCCATCAAATTTTGCTGTATATTCGATAAGAGCAGCATCCCCTCTCTTACGAACATCTTCTATAATTGGTCGCACTTTAGCAATAATATCATCAGATTTAATTATTGGTCGTTGAAGAAGGGAAATTCTTTGTGCTCTACTAATCTCAAATAATGAAAACTTTTGCATTTTGATAAATTCTTCTTTACTGGTCATAATTGTGGGAACCATGTAATCGGTTTTTGGTGGTGGTGATTCTTTTTCATTTGAACTCTTTATAGATTCATCCCATTTAGGTTTTGCATTACCAGGTCTTCGAGTTATTTTCTTCGCACGCTGATCAAGTTGCAATTCCACATCAGCCAGGGATACACCATTTGCAATACATTTTACAAGGGCAAAATAGAACAAGTCCGCAGTTTCCCAAGCAATTTCTTCTTTCGTGCTTGCGGAACATAATTCATCTGCCTCCTCCATAATCTTCGAACGGAGTAAATCTGGATTTTGGAATAGTCGTTGCGTGTATGATTCTGGTGGAGAAGATACTTTACGGCTTTGAAGTGTTCCTTCAAGTGCTGTGAGACCATGATCTGCTCCAAAGCAAGTACGAGTATTTAAATGACAAAATCCTACATTATAAGGAATATATATATATATTACTAATTTAATCAATTGATGAAATGAAATAATAAAAAAAACTACCAGTTCCGTGTTGTTTTACTACAAAACGCAGAGAATCTCCATCACAATCTACTTGAATTGCTTTTAACTCTTGAACCGATCCCGATGTAGCTCCTTTATACCATAATCCTCTTTTTCTACTTTGATAAACACCTTTCCTAGTCTTAAGAGCTTCACGCACGCTCTCCGTGGATGAATAAACTACACCCATTGCCACACCTCCTTCATCTACCACAACAGTTACGATTAATCCATCAGGTCTATCTGATTTAAGCGAACAATTAAAGGCGTCCGCAATATTTAGTAAGCCATTAACATTTTCGTCCAATGTGAGTTGATCAATGGAGACCACCAATTCAGCTGAAAATTCCGAGAGTTGCTTTACAAATTCTAGTGATGATATATAAAAATTCTCTGGATGCAAAATAAGTCCTACTTTTGAAACACCACCTGATGAAAGTATCTTGTTTTGTGCAATTCGAGTGAAATTGCTGAAGTCCTTCAGGAGTTTCTCAGGTATCGATCTTACAACCTTAGAAACGGTTTCGTCATTAGAAATAGTAACTAAATATCCTGAGGATGATATAGACAGGTTTTCTATCAACTCTTCGACGTTTGTACTTGATATATCACGCGAATTTAAATTCGCAATTATTCTGTCTGCGGGTAACTCGGAAATATTGCCACCTGCTAGAATTTGTGAAGAAGGGATGACAACTTTTTGAGCTCCCATGTCCAGGAGATGGATTATGTCTTCAATATCATTAGAACCTACATCTTGTATAGGAAATATCCAATATCTATCCAACGGAAAAGATTCAAGGAATTTGGATAATGCACTTGTTTCACTAACATTAGGGACACGAAGAATAATCTCTCCTATCAAATTTAATGACTTTATGAGATTTGAAAGTTTTTCATCTGAAAAAGATTGATTGGTTATATCAATTGTAGGTAGTATCATTGCTATTTAAATTATAATGCTCAAAGCTTCGTCAATGTATTTATATGTTTCCGAGACTTGATGTGATCAAGATTATCTTATGCATTTTTGTGTAATTATGAGTCATCTTAATAATGTTTTTTATTAATAATTATTTTTTATTATTTTGTGTTTGTAGACTATATAATATACAGTATGGAATAAAAAAAATTGCCTAAAATAAAATTTGATTTTTATTAATAATTTAATAATTAATTGATTAATTAGAATAAAAAATATATATGCATATATTTAAAGATATTGTTACTAAATTTTTGAATTTTTATTAATTTAATAAAGTAATATTTTTTTAAAGAATTCTTAAAATATCTATAGATTTTCAAATAGTATCACTAATTTGAAGTGTTATAGCTTAAAATCCAAGTTGTAAAGCTTCTTTGTGGTTCTATATAACTATTAGCAAAAAGATTAGAGGAACATTATTTGTTAAGAATTTTCTTTGATTATCACAAGTATAACAAAAATAATTCTTTAGTTATTTCTTATATAAAATAAATAAACCATATATAAATAATTATAATAGAATAATCAACAATAATTAAAACATTATAAAAAGATTATATTTTTTCTTAGCCTTGAAGAGAAAGAATAATTAAGACCATGGTATAGAAACCTTGAATTTTTATATTATTTTGTAATATTTTTATTTTCTTTAATAAAATTATTATTTTATTATATTTTTATTCTTATATTTTTATTTCTTTTCTTTTGAAATTCATTTTTTATATATTGTTATTTTTTAATTTCAATATTAAATATTCAATTGTTTATATTAATTTATTTGATATTGTTTAAAATATAACATATATTGAATAAATTAAATTATTAAGAATTAAAAATTATTTTTATTAATGATTTTAAAGTTTATTAGGTAAAAAATTAAAAGTTTCAATATATTAAATTATAAATTTTATCTTTTTTTAATATTTTTTAAATTCTTTTTTTTATTTTTTTTTATTATGTTTTTATTTTCTTATAATTTATAAAATTATATTTTTTATATAAGTCTAAATTAATACAATTCTTATTTTTTTTTTTCAAGACAATAACAATAAAAAGATAAAAAAATATATATAATTTTTAAATATATATTTTTTTTTTTGAGAAACAAAAACAAACATTAGTCTCTCGTTTTTATTATAAGTGACTTGTCATTACAACAGTATTATAAATTATTAGACTAAACTATATCTCTTTTTTATAAGAAGAGCTTAATACAAGGCTCAAAAAAATTGGTCCTTTGTCTAAGTACCTATTTAACCATTCAAGTTTTATAACAAATATTCCAAAATATCTACAAATTCTTGAGTGGTGCTTAGCAGGAAGCTAGGAAATTAGAAAGTACCCAAACACATGAAGGTACTGCAGCCAGGTATATAAATTTGTCTTCAAGTCATGGTTGAGATTTGGTACGCTTGCTTTCCAAAGTTAACTTGATATATGACAGACAGAGTTAATGGAAGGAAAAATATAGATAGTGTTACCTTAATGTATGAAGGCACTGCAGCCACTTTATGTAAGTTGGCCTTCAAGTTACAAAAAGAATTTGGTATACCCATTGTTCAAGTGTGATAGAAGTAAAGATGGGTTCCTAAAGTATTTAGCATATAAAATTTATGTCCCTTTACGTCCACGTCCCCTAGAGGACATAATTCCTAGCTCTTTACTTCAATAGGGACATAATTCCAGAAATGATTTGTATAGATGCTTAAAACTATAAAGAACCTTTATAGGTAGTTTTTTTTTATTCCTTAATATAGAAATGAAAATTTTTAATAGTAAGAGACATTTGAATTATGTTTTTGCAAATAATTTAGGGACCCATCTTTAATTATAGATAACTCGCAAGATATTACCATCTAGGAGTCCTGAATTGAACATTGTAACTTTAGTCTCATTAACGACTAAGTCTTGTTTTAAAAGTTGAATATTATACAGGTTGCATTGACCTATTGCCTATAGAGGGGAGGGGATAATATAGGAGGCAGGATGTTGACTGATTGGAGAAAGGTTTCATTTTCTATTGGAGAGTTTACTAAGTTTCCAATGATATTGCAAAGGCAATATTTGGCATTGGGTAAAACTTTATTGATTGTCCAAAGTGAAGAGGCATCGGAGCTTAGAAAAGTTATTGAGAAAGAGGCCCAAAGGGCAGCCCAAACACTTGATAAGATTGTTATTGGGATCGATTATATAATGTCTTTCCTTAAGAGATATGTTCTCTTGGATAAGACGATATCTTTTGTGAGTCTTAATAATAGCATTAATAGTATATAGAAACCAAAATATCAGATTTGGATTTGGTATTGATCTATGAGATCTAATGATATTGCTATTATTAATAAAGTTCTTGAACCAGATTGGTTCAGAACCACAGTGTATAATGCCTGTATGTAAGATGAGTTGCAACTAAGTTAGCTTGATTGAACTGTTAAACCAAAGAAGTTGATTGGAGAATTTAATATTGAGGGCATTGGATGTGTTGATTGCTGTTTCTCTAAGCTGTAGTGATAGGTTTTTGAAGAAGAAACCTATAGAATTACAGGGATTTTCTCATTGGAGGGAGCAGTTTGACAAACAGATTTGTATCTTGAAGTTTTTTGCAGCTCTGGTTATATAAAGTATCCAGTTATCTTGGTCAAATTTTTCTGGATCACATATTGGGCAGAACCAAATAGCTTCTTTTTTTTGGATACACTGTATAGTTTGAATTATATATTTTCTAGTCATAGGAGTAGCTAGCTTGATTATGAGATTGTTTATAAGGCTTGATCTCTGATGTTCCTTGAGCAATGGTAAACTGAGCCCTCCTTGGCTCATTATAATTGAGTTGGAACACTTGGAGGAAATTTTATAATTTGATTTGATAACTTGGTTGACTTTTCTTTGGATAGTGTTGAGAAGACTCTTGTTTAAATAGGTGATTGATAGGAAATATTCATATTTTCTCATAATTATCTACTCACAGATATGTTGTTTGGTGCTTATTGAGTTTATCTAAAATTTGTAAGGTTATTTGACTGAAAGCTTTCCTGTTGGCCTTAAGGAGGCTACGTGGAGAAATAAGGACTTCCAAATATTTGATGCTCTAATAAGATTTAAGGACTTGAATTGGGAGATTTTCAAAGTTAATTGTTCTTGGACTTCCACACTTGACTTTAATGTTATTGATGATTTTGGTTTTATCTTTGTTGCATGTAATATCATTCATTTGAAAGAATTGATTGGCTGTTTCAAGAAGGGCTTCCATTTTTGTTTTAGAGTCAGCAATAAGTGCTAAATCATCCATGTAGGCGAGAGCATTCAAAGCTAAATATCCCTGAATTTTCTTGTGTCTGGAGAGTTTGGAGATAAGGGGATTATAAAAAATGACCCATGTAATTGGAAAAATAGTTTTTTCTTGTTTTATACTATACATGTGGTATAAATTATTTTGCTGTCAACTCAATTGCCAAAATCCTCAAAATAATTATGTCTGACTCAATTATTTTATATGTTTTAATAGTGACTCAATTAATTGCGTCAAATAATTGCATCAATTGCATCAAAGATCCACCTATTTCTACCTCATGTATATTCTATACCATTGTTGTTCATGAAAGAATTAGTTGGACCAAAGGATAAGTTAATGGATATTTCTCTGTTCATGAGCAGGTTGGTGAAGAGACTTATTAACTAAGGGGAACATTTGATTTTTTCTAAAGATTTTTTGATAGCTAGTATGGGAACAGAGTCGAATGCTTTGGTGATATCAAATGAGGCAAACCAAAATTCTTTGTTGCTAACATTTGTAGCTTGAATTGCTGAGTTAATAATAGTTAATGGTTCGAGAATACTTTGTCCTAGAAGTCTTGCAAAGCTAAATATCTGACATAATCAAGTTAAATTTTAAGATACTAGAGAGTCTTTTGTTGATTATTTCAGTAAAGATCTTTCTTGTGGAATCAACTAGTGATATTGGTCTGGTATCATTGAGCTTGTTGCTTCAAAGGTATTTTTTAGATATAAGAGTAATGGCAGTTTGCTTCCAAAAATATGGAACTGATGAAGAGATTAGGATTTAATTGAAGATTGAGGTAAGATAGGTTATGATTTTTCCTTTTAACAGTTTGATTATATCATAACTGATTTCAGATTTTCCTGAAGATTTCTTCTTGGAAAGAGTATGAATGGCTTCATCAATAGTGTTGTTATCAAATGGAGAAAGCATTTGGTTGTATATAGTTTGGTCAATTGGCTTGGGCAAATATTTGTCTTGCCAATCTGGAAAGTTTTTAAGATTGAAGTTTCTTTCATGCAGGATATTTTTGAAATACTTGTTGATTATTTCTTGAATTGCATTAGGGTCTTCTTCCACTTGATTGTTCTCATCAAGAACTTTGAAGAGATCGATTCTTAGTTTTAGAAAACCTAGAGCTTTCTTAATATAACTCTTGAGCTTACTGTAGAAATTTTCAACTGTTCTTTTTTGATTTAGCCAAAACTCTTCAAGAGATTCTTGCTGAGCTTGAGCTATTGCTTCACAAATTAAGAGTCTTTTGAACCTCTTTGATCCTTGAATTGAGACATTCGAATTTTTATTGATGGTTTTATATAGAATCTGTAACTTTGACCTTGGAGTTAAACCATAATGCAATTGTTCTTAAGCTTTGAAATTGTAATATTAATTTTTCTTGTTTGGCTTTTGAGTTTTTTCTTTGCACTGGTACAAGAGTCTTTTGGAATCATATTGACTTTGGTTTTTTTTATAAACTTGTTCATGGAATCTCTAATAAGATCATAAAGCTCATTCCAGTTCGGGAAGTTTATAAGGCTAGTCCAGGATTTCATATCTTGGATAAAATTGGTGATGTTGCTACTAAAGGTTTTTTTTATGTCGAACTTGTAAATAGGCTTAGCTTTTCTGAATTCAAAATAATCCAACTTAACTAATATTGCATGATAGTCTGTTGGAATAAAGT